TCTCTCTCTCTCTCTCTCTCTCTCTCTCTCTCTCTCTCTCTCTCTCTCTCTCTCTCTCTCTCTCTCTCGGTCTCTCTCTCTCTCTCTCTCTTGGTCTCTCTCACTCTCTCTCGGTCTCTCTCTCTCTCTCTCTCTCTCTCTCTAGGTATATGTTATGAACCTGGTTGCTTGTCGTCAGAAGATCAACACTCGCACACAGAGACTTCGAGGTATGCCCATACATACACAGAAGGAAGGGGAGAGGATGGGAGTATCACACCGCACAGGGAGAGATAAACACAGCAGAAGACTTGACCATGCGATATGACAGAGAACACTGAAAGTGCACTTCACTCCACAGAATCCTCACAACCAGTCACAAAGGAAAGCCGAGTAGATCACATCCAAGAGACAATGATAGTCCAAACTCAGAATCAACACTGTTTATTAAACTCAGAGTCTCGAATTGTCAGGAAAACCCCAGAACTATGGTGCGCTGCTCAGAAATGAGCAGCGCTTCACTCCCCAACCCTGAATACCCGCTAGAACTACCCCTGAGTCCCTGAAACATCAAGCGCCACTTAAATACTGCCTCCAAAGGGAAGCGCCACCCTGAAACAGGCCTCTGAGGCCAGGCGCCTCTCAGAGGATGAAGAAGAAGATCAGCGCCACAGTGTCTGATGATGATGAAGTGCCGGATGACTTCCCGGGTGGAAGTCTACAGCAGCGCCACCTCTCCTGACAAGATGATCTCTGAGGGAGAAGCTGCAGCTATGGCTGCAGCGCCACACACCCTGACACCCTACTCCTGAGTTGGGTTCAGCAGGGCTTCAACTTCTCTCGCCTCCAGCAGACTTCAAATAGCCCAGACCTCTGAACAGCCCCTCGTGCTGTCAGAGTACAGTGCCGGTCCCAGCTATGGCCGACACTCCGCAGGTCTGGCTATGTCCGTCTCCTCCAACGCTGAAGCTGTCACCACGTCCAGTTCACGCGTTACACAGCAGTGACGTACACAGTACCAACTGCCAAAAGCCCTGAACCGATGTCCCCATCCTATCTATAACCTATCCTAGCCTAGACTCGACCTAGACCGGACTGACCGGACCGACCGGTACCGCTTCAGTTTCGGCCTCCCGGCCTCTACCTACCCGCCTTTAGGCTATAGGACCGTCTATCAGTTTTTCCCCATAGGGCCTGTCTGTCCTAGGGGTAGCCCGGGCCTGCTATTCGCAGTTAGGGTAGCTGTAGGAAATTCTAGTTAGTACAGGCCTATATTTTCCCGAATTTGCAGATATGTCCCTCTCGAATTTCCCTTACAGGTGGGTCTCTCGGTTAAGCCCTCAGCCAAACAAAATTACGAATCTGACCTACCTATAGTACAGCCTCGACTCAACGGGCTACAGGCCACCAAAACCAGCAAGTCATTGCAAATACATATCGCTAGAAGGTGATGCAGGCAGCTTGCGTCAACTTGGCGAGCCTTCTACGTGAGAGGCACAGTAAAGGGGCAGCTAAAAGAAGGAATGATAAAAGGAACGGTCTCTTTGTGCTCTCCATGTTTGTCTTCCCTGTTTTTTTTTTTTTTTTTTTTTTTTTTTTTTTTTTTTTTTTTTTTTTTTTAATCGTCTGTTTCACAAAGTGCGCTCATTTGGTTGACAGCAGATGTGTGACAATACATACATATTGCTACCCATCGAACCCAATTTAGAACCCCTTAACCAGCCCCCCTCAACCAGCCTACAACACAGGAAAGCACACCTTCAAACTTGTTCGACCCCCAATTTATGGTCCCCTAATTTTTAACCCCCCCTTAGGTGAACCATAACTGAATTTATTTAAGAAGTGAAGGTTGGATTCTGACTGCTCAGGCTGAGCACAGAACGAGCCCTTTTTTTTTTTTTTTCCCAATTACTCTGTTTTTATGGTTCCTTGCCGCATTGTTGATATGTCCAGGCCTGGCTACCCAGCTGTGTGTGCGCCCAGTTGAGTCGTTGAACCTAGCTTCGAAATAGGTACCAAATGCATGTCCAACATTATCCATTGAATTTGACTGCATATGCATGCGTGGATTGTTGGCTGAAAAATTGTGAAAAAAAATCAAATAATGATTTTGGATTTGACTGAGTGCTTCTGACGCTGACTAGATCATGTCGACTTTTCATTGCCGTTGCACTTTTCCTGTTCTTCCTGCTTTTCCTGCTTTTCCTGCTTTTCCTCAGTTTCTTTTTTTTCTTTTTTTGCTTTTCTGGAGTTTCCAAGCTCGTTAATTCAACTGAATTCGGTCAGAATTGCAGACAGATACATGTGCAAAAGTCTTAGTGTGAGTAGCCTTCGTCCCTCCAAGACTGCTTACCCTGACTTTCCAAGCACAGTCTTCCTTTTCTGGGCCCTCCCCTTTTTTTTTTTTTTTTTTTTGGAAGAGAGTGACAGAGCAAGGGTTGGAACTTGGCAGGCATTCTGACCAACTGTTTTTTCTTCTGCTTTTTCAAATCGATCAAGTGCAGGGAAATACTGTATCGCTTACATGCCTGTGGGAGGGGAAAAGGAGTACTACTTGGCATGTGCATGTCAGGAAATTTATGCGCCTCCTTCCGCCTATGTATCTCTGCGAGGATTCTCAGTTGCAGGCTCTTTCCTCGGAGGTAAGGAACCCTGCTCCTCCTCCCACATGTCTCTGTTTGTGTTTGTGTTTGTGTGTGTGTGTGTGTGTGTGTGTTTTGTATGTCCATGTGAGCACGTGTGTGTGTTATGTGTTTGTTTGCGTTCGCACGCGCGTGTTTGTGTGTGTGCGTGCGTGCGTTTGTTTGCGCTTTTGCATGAGTGTGCATGCGTGTCTGTGTGTCCGTGTCCGTGTGCGTGTGCATGTGTGTGTGTGTGTGTGTGTGTGTGTGTGTGTGTGTGTGTGTGTGTGTGTGTGTGTGTGTGTGTGTGTGTTTGTTTGCGCTTTTGTACAAGTGTGCATGCGTGTCTCTGTCCGTGTGAGTGTGCATGTGTGTGTGTGTGGCACTGTGTGGGTGTGTGTGGGTGTGTGTGGCACTGTGTGGGTGTGTGCGCGTGTGTGCTGTGGGTTTGTGCTGAGTGGGTTTTCTTCCCGTGAATCGAAACAGGATGAATGAGAGAAGATGTATGATTTCGCTGCTGTTAGTTCACTTTGGAAAGCAAACTAGTACGTTTGTGTGGGAGGCAACTTCATCGCAAAAGTGTGCCTGGGAGCGGTAGCTGTGGTGTAATGGTGGATTGTATGACCTAAATCACAGCCAGGGTCGCTGTTGCCCTCTTGTGTAACAGGGAGATGTGTAACAGCTACCAGTCAGTGATTAGCAGGAACAATCATGGACGACGGTGGGTTCTTTTTATTGAATCATCCTGTGGAGTGGGCGGTGGGTTCGTGTGGGCGCCTAAATGCCGGTTACCACTGACTTGACCAAACCTATCACCAAATATGCCGCCAACCACATCACTAAACTTGTCGCTAAACCTGTCACGCAACCTGTCACGCAACCTGTCATGCAACCTGTCACGCAACCTGTCATGCAACCTGTTGCCCAACCTGTCACCCAACCTGTCACCCAACCTGTCACCCAACCTGTCACCCAACCTGTCACCCAACC